TTTTTTTTTGAGTTGGAGTTTCACTCTGTCACCTAGACTGGAGTGCAGTGGCCGCTCTGCAGCCTCGTCCTGCTGGGCTCCGGCAATCCTTCTGCCTCAGCCTTTCAAGTAGCTGGAACTACAGGTGTGCGCTACCACGCCCAGCTAATTTTTTGATTTATTGTAGAGATGAGGTCTCCCAAAGTTGCCTGGGCGGGTCTCAAATCCATGGGCTCAGGCAATTTCACCTAGGCCTCCCAAAGTGCTGGGATTATAGGCGTTAGCCACTGCGTCCTACACTCCCTACACATTTAATATATCATTTGTGGTCGGACTCGGTGGCTCAGCCTGTAATCCCAGCACTTTGAGAGGCTGAGGCGAGTGGACTGCCTGAGCCCGCGGGTTCAAGACCTGCCCGGGCAACCTGGCGAGACCTTGTCTCTACAATAAATCAAAAAATAACCAGACGTGGTAGCACATGCCCGTAGTTCTGGCTACTTGGAGGGTTGAGGCGGAAGGATCACCAGAGCCCAGCAGGTTGAGGCTGCAGTGGCTGGGAGCATGCCACTGCACTCCAGGCTGGGCGACAGAGTGAGACTCTTAACTCAAATATATATATAGTTTGTAATCATATATATGTAATATATATGTATATAGAGAGAGCCAGAGAGGGAGGGGCGAGAGAGAGAAAGATTGAGAGAGAACAAAAGTATTTTGCATTTGATTGGTTCTTTTTTTTTCTTTAGTCAGAATCTCACTCTATCACTCATGGTCATCGATCCATCGCAGCCTCAACTTGCTGGGCTCAGGCAATCCTTCCACCTTAACCTTCCAAGTAGTTGGAACTACAGGCACGCCACTATGTCCAGCTAATTTTTTTTTTTTTTTTTTGAGTTGGAGTCTCACTCTGTCGCCCAGACTGGAGTGCAATGGCCGCTCTTGGCCACCGCAGCCTCGACCTGCTGGGCTCTGGCGATCCTTCCGCCTCAGCCTTCCGAGTAGCTGGAATTACAGGCATGCGCTACCACGTCTGGCTGATTTTTTTATTTATTGGAGAGATGAGGTCTCGCTGCCCAGGCGGGTCTCGAACCCGCTGGCTCAGGCAATCCATTCACCTCAGCCTCCCAAAGGCGCGGGATTACAGGCTGAGCCACTGAGCTCGGCTTAATTTTTTGATTTACCGTAGAGACAAGGTCTCCCCCAAGTTTCCCAGGCTGGTCTCGAACTTCTGGGCTCAGACAATTCTCCCACCTCTGCCACCCAAATGATTGGTTCTTAAAGGCTGAGAAACAGTTTTCCAGGTGAAGGAGAGATGGAAGCAAAAGAAGCCACAAAAATCATAGGTTTTTAAAGTTACATAGGGCACTAGAAAACTCTGGGCTGAAACTCTCCCTTTCTAGAACTGGTAGCTATAGTCTGTCTCTGGAGGGTACTGGGACTTGCCAGAGGTCTCTCACTGATTAAGGGAAAGTCACAACAAGAACTAATGTTTCTAAACTGGTCAAGTAGTCCACCCCCCATAATGCAGTTACCGAACAGGCTGGAGAGCTAAGAATTCAGCTATCTTTGAATTCAGCTATCTTCTGGAGCAATGCCTGACTGTTCAAATTTGTCAGTTACTCCATAATCAAAGAGGAGTCAAACACTCATGAACTAGAACCAACCTTACCACAATCTTTTTTTCTTTATTTTTGAGTCGAAGTATCACTCTGTCATCCAGGCTGGAGTGCAGTGGGTCAGGGTCACTGTAGCCTCGACCTGCTGGGCTCAGATGCTCAGGTGATCCTTCTGCCTCAGCCTTCTAAGTAGCAGAACTACAGGCATGTGCCACCACGCCTGGCAAATCTTTTGATTTATTGTAGAGATAGGTCTCACCAAGTTGCCCAGGCTGATCTCCAACCTGAGCTCAGGCATTCCTCTCACCTCCTCCTCCCAAAGTGCCTTGTTTTGTATTTTTCTTTTTTTTTGAGTTGGAGTCTCACTCCGTCACCCAGACTAGAGTGCAGTGGTCACTCCTGGCCAGTCACCGCAGCCTCGACCTGCTGGGCTCTGGTGGTCCTTCAGCCTCAGCCTTCCAAGTAGCTGAAACTACAGGTGTGCGCTATCACACCCAGTTAATTTTTTTATTTATTGTAGAGATGAGGTCCACCAAGTTGCCCAGGTGGTCACAAACCCGTGGGCTCAGGCAATCCACTCACCTCAGCCTCCCAAAGGCGCGGGGTTACAGGCTGAGCCACCGAGCCCGGCTTGTATATATATATATATATTTAATTGTTTTAGAGATGGAGTCTTGCTATGTTGCCCAGGCTGGAGTGCAGGGGCTATTAACAGGCTCTGTCATTGAGCACTATGGCCTAGATCTTGGCTGAAGCGATCCACCTGCCTCAGCTTCTGGGGTAGCTGGGACTATAGGTGCACCACCATGCCCTTTTATTGTTTTAGGTGTTTCTCTGACTCTACTCTAAGACTATTAGAAAAACTCCTAGCCAGGCTCAGTGGTTCAGCCTGTAATCCCAGCACTTTGGGAGGCTGAGGTGAGTGGATTGCCTGAGCCCTCGGGTTCGAGACCCGCTTGGGCAACTTGGCGAGACCTCATCTCTACAATAAATCAAAAATCAGCCGGGCGTGGTAGTGCGCGCCTGTAGATCCAGCTACTTGGAAGGCTGAGGTGGAAGGATCGCCGGAGCCCAGCAGGTCGAGGCTGCGGTGGCTGGGAGCGGCCACTGCACTCCAGTCTGGGCGACAGAGACAGAGTGAGACTCCAACTCAAAAATAAAAAAAGAAAAACTCCTGGTGAGTTTGTACTCTTTTCTTGAAGAGCTCCTAAAGATATGGTCGTCAGAGATGGAGAGAAAACAAAATCCCTTTAGGATAATTAAGGCAATTTAAAGGATTAGGGTAAAGCAATAGGTATTCCTGACCTAAGAGAGGTCAAGGACCAGCGAACCCAGGGGTGGGGAAAAGCCAAGCTTCATCAAAACCCTCTCTTATTGTGAAATCCCTGCATTCAGTAAACTTCTCTTTTCTCATTTTGCAACGGCTTGTCCCTACTGGAAAACCACAGCCCCTACTCCCTGTACCTTCCCTTATTCTAATCCCTTTCCCCCTCTGCCCCTCCTACACTCTCCTCTCTAGTCTCCAATGCCCTAACATCCTACTCACGTTGAGCCAAATCAAATCGGCTTCTAGAAAGTCACGGGTGGTTTTTCGTCCTTCCCTGAGCCCAGCAAAGCGTGCGACTCCACCTTGGGGAGATTGTTACTGTGACAATCCGGTAGTCCTGGCGGTCCTGGTTTATCTAGTTAGCATCTCTCGGTCCACTCCATGGTTGTGCAGACTGTCTGAAAGGATGCTGAAGTGACCTGAGCTGCCTGAGGGCAGAGCTGGCCGTTGACCACAGCAACACAGGTATCCTGGACCAAACCGGGTCGCTGGGAATAGAAATTAGGGTAAGATTCCGTCGGGCGGGGCCCGTGTTAAAGGCTAAGGAGACATAGCGCCCCCTAAAGGGAGTGCTGATTAAAGCCGCGAAATCAGGCCGACACTATCACGTGCCCACCCCCTACCAATTGAAAATTAACAATCGCTTCCTCTGTTCCCCATGGAAACAACCCCGCCCCACTGACCCTCCCGCCCCAATCAGTTGTGAGGTTTCGACGTTTTATTGAGCGTTCAAGCTGACAGTCAAATACTCGCGCTTTTTGGTTGGACAGCTTGCTTCCGCTTATAATGATTGGTCCATAGAGCAAAGGGCTGGCTTATCTTTAGCCAATGATCCCTATCCTGGGCGGGGTCTAACGAGGACGCAGGGCCAATCAGCGGCGGCGTTACTTTTGCGGCTCCACGTCGGCAACAGCTGCGGGGGAAGATGGAGGCGCTGATTTTGGTAGGAGCCGGAGGGGCAGCGGAGATGCTGCGGTGTCCTCAGGGGCCGGGAGTCAGGGTTCAGCCAGACGGGAGGTGAGGGAAGGGGAGTTCCGGGTAATCCTTGGGGACTGAAGTTTCTACCGGTCCCTGGAATAAGTGTGTGGCCTAGTGCAGGAGTTAAAGCCTGGGTTTAGAGTAGGAAGCCCTGCCGGGGAGAGGGCAGAGAGTCAGTGGAAAGTTGAAGGGTACACAGAGAGAGTCCTTAGGACACACAGAATTATAAACGGACTGGATTAGGGTCCTTCAGGTTCCCTCTTATTCACAGCATTGTGGATGATATTCTGATTTGAATTTCCCCAAACTTCCAAAGTTTTAAGAACAGAATACCGGTGTTTTGTCATCACAGGCTCCTCCCGGTGTTTTCCGGAGTTTGACTCTCCATTGGTAATTCGTCCTTCAAAAAACTGTTTTACCTTCGGTTTCCTGTTAATCCCTGCTATATAAATGTGTCATGATAAAGAATCGATATTCCATCAAAGTTCTGGAATACCTGGTAGAGTTAGTATGGATTGTGGAATATATTTTTCCAGATTCCTTACTCTGTTCTCCTTTTCTGTCCCTATTTAGACTTTAGAAATTCTTATTGGATCTAGGATACCAATTTCTCCCTCTCTGGTTACATGAGAATTGTGGTGGCTGAAGGGGAGTGTTTTAGCTCTCTTGTCCATATGGTCCTTTTTGCTTGTTCAGACGAATAAAATACCTATTACCCATTCTTTAGCACTGGACCAGAGCATTTATCTCGAAAGTGCCATATCTGTTTTGCAATTTGGAGATGTGTGTGTGTGGTGTGTGTAGTACAGTGTAGGAATTTAGCTCCCAGCCTCTTTCCCTAATTGAGTTGAACTCTTAGGCCTTTTTCCAAAGAAATTTTCTTGTTTTTTATGTTCCTTCAGATCTCATATGTGTACACATCCAGATCCTCATCAACTAGAAGAAAATAACAGGTTATAGCCAGGTGTGATGGCTCACGCCTATAATCCTAGCACTTTGGGAGACCGAGGTGAGAGGATTGCCTGAGCCTGCAGTTCGAGATCAGCCTGGGCAACTTGGCGAGACCTCACCTCATCTCTGCAATAAATAAAAAAAGAAAAGAAAAGAACAGGTTTTAATTACCCTCTTTAAACATGTTAGAGATAATTTCTTCTCATTTTATGGGTGGGTCAAATCTAGGTAAAAAGGTTACAATCTGAGTAGTTTTTAATATTTTCTGTACCAGGCAGTTCCAAGTATTCTTTTTTTTTTTTTTTTTTTTTGAGTTGGAGTCTCACTGTCATCCAGACTGGAGTGCAGTGGCCACTCCCGGCCACCGTAGCCTCGACCTGCTGGGCTCTGGCGATCCTTCCACCTCGGCCTTCCAAGTAACTGGAACTACAGGCGTGTGCTACCACGCCTGGCTGACTTTTGATTTATTGTAGAGCTGAGGTCTTGCCAAGTTATCCAGGCGGGTTTCGAACCCGTGGGGGCTCAGGCAATCCTCTCACCTCAGCCTCCCAAAGCGCGGGATTACAGGCTGAGCCACCGAGCCCGGCTCCAAGTATTCTTAATCAAGTAACAGACTAGGATAGAGTCCAGGGAATTCATTTCTTTGGAAGTTTCTAGACTGTTCCCTATGAATGTTTAGAAGGGAATCTGCTTAGCGGTAAAGGAGTGAGGAAGATGACACTCGGGGAGCCTTGTGGCAGTGAGTCTGTGTGTAGTAGTGAGTTGGGGGAGTTACATGTGAAAGTCTCCTGTCTCTATTACATTTCTCTTTCCTTAGTTTTCTGTCTTTGCTTCCTCGGTGACTTCTGTTTCAGCCAGCAGCTTCTTTATTCCTCCAATTTATGCCTAAGATGCTGGATTCACAGATTCCTGTGAATTTGGTCAGATACCCCTGAACTTCGCTTTAAAATCCACACTGATTCTTTGTCATGGAGAGCCTGTGATACAGGATTATGGGCACCTAAGGAAGTGCAGTGTCAAAAGTAGGATTAGATTTTGATTTCTTTGTCCTCCTGGACCAATTCTCTCTTTGATGGTACTGTAGGTTCTCTCATCACAGCTTTCCACCTCTTCAATATGCAAAATTGTCCTTTCAGCTGTCAGAATCTCACTCTGTAGCTCAGGCTGGAGTGCAGTGGCATGTTCATGACAACCACAGCCTCAACCTGCTGGGCTCAGCCCTCCAAGTAGCTGGAATTACAGGCACGTGTCACCATGCCTGGCTGATTTTTTGATTTATTGTAGAGATGAGGTCTTGCCAAGTTGCCCAGGCTGGTTTTGAACCTGTGAGCTCAGGCAATCCTCTCATCTCAGCTTCCCAAGTGCTGGGATTATAGGTATGAGCCACCGCGCCTGGCAACAGGTATCAATTCTTGTGCTTGTGATATTAAACTAATATTTTCCTTCATCTTTGTCAACTCTTTGCTACTTTTTTTTCTCCTTACAATTTTAATGTATTTTGGGCCCCCAATTAAGAAGTTAATTCCAGCCGGCTCGGTGGCTCAGCCTGTAATCCCGTGCCTTTGGGAGGCTGAGGTGAGTGGATTGCCTGAGCCTGCGGGTTCGAGACCCGCCTGGGCAACTTGGCGAGACCTCATCTCCACAATAAATCAAAAATGAGCCGGGTGTGGTAGCTCGCGCCTGTAGTTCCAGCTACTCAGAAGGCTGAGGCGGAAGGATCGCCAGAGCCCAGCAGGTTGAGGCTGCGGTGGCCAGGAGCAGCCACTACAGTCCAGTCTGGGTGACAGAGTGAGACTCCAACTCAAAAAAAAAAAGAAGTTAACTCCAACTGTTTTCATCTGGAGTTTCATGATAGAGAGAATTGAACCCTAAGACCCTAGGACATTCATTGTGTGTAATAAATTAACTTCTCTGTATCCACAGTGGTACTAGTTTTGTGCCATCTTGGGAGAAGTGAGAAAATAGTCATTTCAATAACTTTCCTCATTCTGTGGTTCAGATAAGGAATCTTAGTGAGAATCAGGCGATATTTCCTGAATATCTTCTCTTGCTACCCACACAATCCGGCCCACACAATCAGCTCCATCTGATTCAGAATGACCTTTCTCCTCTCTTCCTCTCCCCTTCTCTGTCTACTCAGCAGCAACTCTTGATTCTTAGGTCTTCATCTTCATTATGAAAAATGTGAGGAACCCCTGGGTCTCACCTTAGCTCTCTACTGTGCTAGAGTTTACTGTACCCGGATAGTATTTAACAAACCACATCTTAGGCAGGCTCCTTCTGTTATTCCTTTATTCTTCCTCCTCTCACATTTGTATTTCCTGTCTCTGCTGGACCTCTGGGGAAATCTGGTCAAAGCATAATCTTCTCTACACACTTCTCCAAGGCACACAGCTGCAGGATGTTGAGAACAAGGGAAGAGAAAGCTTGAGGGGGTCAGTAAGGCTATTGATTGAAATTAGTTATGGAATTTCTGACTAACAATAGATTCCCTTCATTAGGTGCTTTATGGTGGGTCACATTTCTTTCTTGAATTAAGTATCCAACTCTCACGTTCAGGCAGATTTGTCTAATCATTTCCAGGTCCCCTCATTGGGTCTAAGGAAAGAGACCTTTTCATCTCCTTCAGTTCCCAGTGCTTCCTGATAATGCTCTCAGCCTGCTGTTTCTGCTGCTTCTTTCTTTTTGAGTTGTGAATGGAGAGGGATCTCTGCCAGTCACTACTCTCCATTAATGGCTTGTAGAGTCTTTTTTTTTTTTTTCTTTTGAGTTGGAGTCTCACTCTGTCACCCAAACTGGAGTGCAGTGGCCACTCCCGGCCACCGCAGCCTCGACCTGCTGGGCTCTGGCGATCCTTCCACCTCAGCCTTCCGAGTAGCCAGAATTACAGGCGGGCGCTACCACGCCCGGCTGATTTTTTATTTATTTATTGTAGAGATGAGGTCTCGAACCCGCGGGCTCAGGCAATCCACTCATCTCAGCCTCCCAAAGGCGTGGGATTACAGGCTTAGCCACCGAGCCCGGCTTGACTTGTGGAGTCTTAAAGATAATGACTTATCCTGTCTCTCCCTTCTCCCTTTTTTCCTCAAAGCTGAATTACTCTAGCAGTTTGGATCCTTAAATCTTTGATCATAGATTTCATTTTTTCTGATCCTCTCTGGATTTACCTTTTGAGTGCTTCTCCAGTGCTTTACAGACTCGTCTTTTAATTCTGTACTCTTTCCTTAATGTTTTATTCCGAAATAATGATCAAATCCCAAATTCTAAGCCTCATTCAAAAATCAGGCCATCCAAAGTGCACAAGGGTATGAGTGTAGATGGAGGAGAAAACTACGCAGAATGCATCAATGACTCTTAAAGGTTGATATTGCTCCTTGGCCTTCGCTTCCTGAATCATCTTAATGGGGCTTTTGTTAAATTCCTTTGGCACTAACAGTAGAGGTACTTGGCCTAAATGCCCCCTCCCCCTGCTCTGGGCAAAGGTATCAATTACATTAAGCCCCCAAAGCACTCCCATCTCGTTCCTGGCAGTCCCCTGTGCCCCTCTCCCAGCTGCGTCCTTGCCGGTGCCTGGCCCCTCCATTTCGTTAGGAGAAGCAATCTCTTCGTTTCTGCGCTGTGGAGATATATTTCTCAGCTAGGGCGCGAGCAGTGCCAGCACTGCCCCCGGTGAGGTCCCTGGCAGCCATAAAAATTTTTATTGTGATTATGTTGGTGTCGGGGTGTCCATCTGGGTTATTGCACACCTAGTTTAATTGATTGAAGTTTAATTTATTGACACTTCAAATTAAATGATCAGAATAAACTGTGCTGTTACTCTGGCCGGCTTGTTTTAATGGTTGATTGCTGGAAGCAGACCTCGGCTTGAACTAAAACCCCCAAAGAGCAATTGGCGCTGCCTCTAACTCTCCCCATGCCTTGCCCTCCAAGAAGACCTTGTTATAGATTTCCGACGTATTTATATATATATTTTTCCCTTTCTTTCACAGTGGTGAGAAAGAGTTGGTCCCTGGC